TCTAGCCTAATGACTATAATGGTAAAAATGGTCACGTGTCAGTCAATGATCATGGTACGATGTGTGAATCCTGTCATTGACAGCATGGGAAGAGCAGTGAGAGTTGCCATAGCAACTGGAGGTGGTGATGTGGGAAACTACAGCATGATAGTGTTCACTGGCTGGGACTACAGTTGTCTGGGAGACCAAGCCACCAAATTGAAGCAGAAGAACATTCACTATCGCCTACAGGTCAGAAAGAGAAACGCAGGGGAACATAACATGAAACAGTGTGAGTGAGAAGAAAGTGCATGTTGGCTGGAAATGATGATGGAAGTGAGGTCTACTATGATGTAACGTATGGAGACAAACTCCCTTACTGACTGTTTTTAATCTCACTTCATGTGTGTGTGTGTGTATGTCTATATAATCTAGTCCTTCTCTTCCAGGTGGACCTGGAGGAGCAGAGAATAAAGAGAAAGGCTGCTGCTCTGACGTTATGTGAAAAAATCACTTTATATTCTCTTCGTGTTTTAATGGGAATCCTGTCACTGGGGTTAATTTGTTCTGCATTCATCTGCATTGGTCTGGCCACCAACTTCAGCCAGGTAATGTAGAGTAAAATGTCATTGTGGAGCTAGTTTTATTCATGAAGTTAAGTTCTGTATTTCTATCCTCCAAGTAGGAAAATAGTGACAAGGAAGGAATCCTGGGACTGATTTTGGAATATCTCCCCTCTATTGTCATCACCACTGGAAACTTCCTGGTTCCTCTGCTGTGTGACCAGATTGCTAAAGTAGAGAAATACTCCCCAAGCAACACTGTCATTCTAGCATTGTTGAGGTTTGCACCAGAGTTCTGTGAGACCATAATAGTATTTCATGTTAAATAGTCTAGATAATTATTTTTTTCCTTTTTCAGGGCAGTTGTTCTGCGTCTGTTGAGTCTTGTTGTCCTCCTCTACACCCTGTGGAATCAGATCACCTGTGGGGGTGACAACAAAAGTGAAGAGTGTAACCTGTGCCAATACAACCACAAAGACTACCCTGTAATTATACTACTACAATAATGCACCAACAGGAATAAGGTGGTCGTAAACATTGACATCCACAGTGAGAAAATGTTTTTACAAATCTAAAAGAACTGAATGAAGAGGTGAGAAATGTCAAGCATAATTGAAAAATGACAGATGATTTGGTGAAAGTCTTTCATGTAGGCTGCTAGGAACAGGCAGACACACACATATACACACACACCTGAGATTTTACACCTACAGCTCAATTAACTTCACTGATCAGAATTATTGTATTCATTTTCTATCCATAAGTGCTGGGAGACGCGTGTAGGACAGGAGATGTACAAGCTAACACTGTTTGACGTCCTCATCCACTTTGCTCTGCTCATTCTGGTGGAGTTTCCACGCAGGTAAAAACAAACTCACAATCACTCAGACTGCATCATTAGTGTGTTGTTGTTTGGTCACATTTTTTGGTTCTTGATTTGAGCCAGGATTGTGGTGGACCATTCATCCAGTAAGCTAGCACGGTGGCTTGGTCGTCAGGAGTTTGTGGTTCCTGCCAATGTGCTCCTTTTGGTATACGGTCAGACGGTGGTTTGGACTGGAGCTCTGTTTTGCCCTCTGCTGCCCCTCATAAATACCATCAAGTTCATCTGCCTCTTTTACTTCAAAAAGGTGACGTCTTTGTAGGATCTCAGTCGCCCACTTCTCATTTTATCATTTTATCTGACAAAGTTGAGTGGAAGGCTTCGTTACTGGAAGATGTTTCCCCGTTTCATCTTTCTTCAGTTCAAACTGATTGCTGGACAAATTCTGGTGTTGAGCCTCAGATGACTCAATACCTCATGTGACTCACACAACCCCGTAATTCACACCTACACCCAGGTGATCACAACTTCCTTCCACTGGGTCAGGTTGTGTTCACATACTGTGATTTCGACTACTCTGAAACTAAACACCAGAATTTTTTCAGCAGTCATTTGGAAGTGGAAAAGTCTCTTCAATGACTGGTGAAATGTTTTAACCCAGAAAGTCCAGTTGCCTTCTTTTGTGATGAAATCAACATGTCCTCCTGCTTCTGTTCTTTGACTGGTGTGTTCATTCTCCCTCGTCCTCAGATCACACTCTTCTACAACTGTCAACCAGCTCACAAAACATTCCGATCCACCAACTCTGCCTTTTTTTTCCTCCTGGTGCTGTTTATTGGCTGGTGTTGGGCTACAGCTGTGATGGTTTACAGTCTGGCAGTGTAAGTCATCATTGGTTCTTCTTACATCTTTAGGATAAAGTACTTACTTACTTAAGTACTTACAATAAAGCTGGATGACGATGTCTCTAGAACCCAAATATATATTTTTTCAGGATCCATCCATCCTTCAGCTGCGGTCCATTCCGTTTCTTCCGGACCATGTGGTCCATCATCCCAACATCCTTTTACAGCCTACATCAAAGCTCACAGGAGTTCCTCTTCTTTGTTGGCTCTCAGGCCTTTCTCATCCCTGTCTTTGTCCTAGCAGTGTGAGTTCACCTGTGCCCCCTGGTGGCAGCATGTGTAGGTTCCTGACAACAGAAAGTTATCTTAAAAGCAAAAATGCTAACGTTCACACAAGCTAGGTTTCATAGTGTATTACTTTTATTATCAAAGCTGTTGGTTGTAGGACTAGTACACTAATCATTAACAATTTCACCAAGTGTGGGATCAATAATCTAATCTGATCTAATCTGATCTAGCACATTTATGACGAGAGAACGGTATGGAAAACTAAAGCTGTCACTATCATTTAAGTTGCTTATACAGCAGCTCAACAAGATGTTGGTAACTACTGTTCGAGGCCGTGGGCAGCAGAGGTTTATTTGACCATTTCTGTTTGACTGTACAGGTTGATTATGAGGCTCAGTGGCAACATTTCTGACTTGTGGTCCAACTTATGAAGTTGACTAATGTGTGTCATTTTCTCCAACAGTGTAGGACTGTGTTATTTCATATCCTTGTCTGCGGTCTATGGGAACAGTGTTGCTCTGATGAGATTACAGCTAAAACGGGTGAGTTTTTACAGACTGCCTTATGTTAGCCCCGCCCCCGTGTACATCTGACTCTCTAATGTGTCCTATTGTGTCTTTGATTGGCAGGAGGGCCGTGACAAACAGTTTTTGGTGAAGCAGATCGAAGAACTAAGCAAAAAACTTCACATACCTACACACAATACTACTGTACAAAACTAATATACACAAAGAGTAGTACAGGACTAATTATAATCTCATCAGCTGTGTTTTTGTCAACAATACTGTGTATTTGGTTTGTTTATAGGACTACTCTCAATGAATGTTTGCAAAATTATAAAAAAAATCCCTTTTCTCTAGCTGAAATTCTACTTAATTATATATTACAAAGATGTGCAATTCACTACATCCCTAACCATCCCTAACCTTGGATGTGTTTTCAATTTAAGCCGCATTGCGTGATTGAGCTGGAGACCACTGTCTTAGAAGAACAAGATATGGGGGTGGGCGTGGGGGGAACAACAACATGTAACTAAGTCTTAGTGAAAAGTCATTTCCCTCTCCACCACCGACTAACCGATTTGTTTCTGTCTGTATTTTTATATCTCTTTTGTTGTAACTTTCCTATATAGCTTTTGTCTGTGCTGCTGTGCAAATCAAATAAATAAATGAAATATTGATTCTTCCCAGGTAAAATATATCGTTTAAATGCTATTATTAGCGTACGCTAGGCAGTACAGGAGGGTAATGCCACAGAACTGAAACGACAGTAAAGTTAAAAAGAACGTTGTTCAGTCCTACCGCAAGAGGGCGGTAAAGCGCAAAAAGCAATCAAACCGCCGTAAAACCTAAGAAGAGAAAGAGCACTGTAGCGTTTAGTGTCATATTTTGGCTCTCCAAGTAACTGACAACGTGTAAGTTTCTTGTTGAAAATATTAAATAATGATTGCTTAAAAATATATGTGTTTTGGGATAAGAGATTAAGCATGTGTCGTTACTAATGCGCCGGGGGTGCGCAAAAGCTAAAAGTAAAGCTAACGTGAACTAACTTAAGTGTAGCTGTAGCCACACATATAGCTTACGCGCACACTCCAGTTTATCTTTAATTGTGGATTTTATTCGTTTTTTTGCTTTCGAATAATGTTATCATTGACGCATTCTCTTAAATCTGCTTCCACTCGACGCTAGTTCAGTGAGCTAGCTTGTAGCTATCGAGTCACTTCAGCCGAAATAACCATGAACATTCTCCCGAAAAAGAGCTGGCATGTCCGCAACAAAGATAACGTTGCCCGTGTGCGGAAAGATGAAGCCCAGGCAGCGGAAGAAGAACGGGAGGCCAAGCGGCGAGTGGAGAGGGCAGAGCAGGAGGTGAGGTCGTCTTAGTGTTTTTTTTTTTTTTTTTTTTTTTTTTTTTTTTAAAAAATTTTTTTTATGATATGGGTGGGGAGAGTAGTC